ACTGGCTTTGTCTGCACTCATTTCTGTGTGTGTGCAGTAGTCCCTGATTGTTTACCACAGTTATGGGTTCATAGAATCCCTGTGACAATCAAGGTAATGAACCTTCTATTTCCACAAAGTGACACCCTGTGGTTAACTTTTCAGGATCCTGGGCCTTCTCTAGTCCCAAGGCAATGACCCAATGCTCTACAGAATTCATAATTTCTCCATTTCAATAGTTTATTTCACAACTGGAATCATAGATGTAATAGCCCGTTACAGTGGCTCTGGCTTGACTAAGCACATGTCCTTGATGGTCATCTGCAATGCTGTGCACATTGCTGTTTCTTCCCTTTACATGGCCGAGGAGTCACAGTTCATGGTGAGGACCCCCTAGTCTCTCTCACATGTCAGAACACCCTCAAAAAGCCCGACATGAATGCAGTACCTGTCCAGGGGCAGCAGCTGCAGGCACAATCCTTGTTGCCTGTCACTTGTGTCTGTCAGTGACAGATCTGGTCACAGCTGCTTCTCCTCTGCACTCCCCTCCCTCTCAACTTGCCGTCTCTTCTGTCCCTTTCAGGGGCCTCTGCTCATCTCTGAGCATCTCCTGCTCTCTTTCCACAGCCCTTGTTCTTGTTAAGAGCACTTAAAAGTTGAGATACATTGTTACATAACTTAAGTTCCTTTTAAGTTCTTTTCAAATGTATCTGTTTTGAAAATAGTCAAGCTCTTACTAGAATACTTTCATCACCCATATAGTAATGTTGTATCTATGAGAAGTTGTAGGAAGCGGGTGTGGCGGCCATTCCAAAATGGCACCTGAAGCTAACACCTGACTTCCTCATACGCCCCTGAAGAAGCCACACCCACAGGCAATATTGCCTGGGCTCACTCCTATGCATAATCAGGCCATCTGCTACGTAGGGCAACGTCAGATCTTGCCATACCCACTGTCCTATCACATGCACCCACGTGGCAAGCTCTGATTGGAGAAGGCAGAGGGATTTAAGGGCGGTGGAGGAGAGGCTCGGGGGCTTTTTGAAGAATGTAAGGGTTCCTGAATAAACTGCGTTGGGAAGAAGAACTCCGTGTGTCGCCGTTTCTCTCCGCGGGTCGGAGTGGACAGCGACAAGTGGTGGCCCGAATGGGGACTTCAGAACTCATCGCAGTCAGGGCAGCTAGCTGGAAAGTTCCCAGGTAAGTGGGACAAGAGAAAGTTCCCAGATAAGTGGGACAAGGGAAAGTTCTCGGTTCAGAGACTATAAGGTTCCCAGGGTTGGTACAAGTCGCATCAAGGAGCTAGAAAAGGGTAACAGTACACTAGAGCAGTTAAAAGAAGAGTGATCTCAAAAGTCTGAAAATGGAGATAGTTCTGAAGAGGAAAGTGAGGAGTATAAGAGTGAAAGAGTGAGGAGAATAGAGGAGAGTGAGGAGAATAAAGAAGAGACTTGAAGAGACTCCACCAGACTCTGTCTTGTATCTATCTCCTGTGTCTCTCGCCCCTTTTTTCTTCCCCTTCCTCCATCCCCAGTTTCTCTTTCTTGCTAGACCCTGACCTGCAGACCCGAGCAGCAGAAACGGCCCGGCCTTTTATGGCCATTACAAAAGAAACGTTACAAAGTTGCTCCCAGAAGCTTGGAAGGAGCTTAGAGCTCAATGTTTCCAAATGTTTCTTAAGGAACCAGGAAAAGTGGTGATGGTTGCTATTTGCATTAGTGGCTTAAACTGCTTCTTTAAATTTCTTGCCTGGATTTATAGGGGTTCAGCAAGTATGTTCTCAGAAGCTATACACTCATTATCTGATACTTGTAACCAGGGTTTGCTAGCACTAGACATCAGCAAGTCTGTTCAGACACCAGATTCTTCTCACCCATATGGCTTTTCAAATATGCGCTATATTTCTTCATTGATTAGTGGTATTGGTATTTTCATGATGGGCGCAGGACTCTCTTGGTATCATGGAGTCATGGGATTGCTTCATCCTCAACCAATGGAATCCCTTCTATGGGCATATTGTATTTTAGCAGGATCTTTGGTGTTTGAAGGAGCGACACTTCTTGTTGCCATAAATGAACTTCGCAGGAGCGCACAGGCCAAGGGCACATCATTTTACAAGTATGTCATAGAAAGTCGTGATCCAAGTACACTCCTGGAGAGCGACCCATCAGTAAGGGCAATCCATAATGTCAAAGCCACAGACCTGAGATTAGGCAAAGTCAGATTTAAGACAGAAGTTGATTTAGATGAACGAGTTGTTACAAGATCATATTTGGAAAAGCAAGATTTTGACCAAATGATGCAGGAAATTCAAGAAGTGAAAACTCCTGAACAATTAGAAGCCTTTACGCTTAAACATGGAGAAAACATTATTGATACTCTAGGAGATGAAGTAGACAGGCTTGAGAAAGAGTTAAAGAAACGAAATCCTGAAGTTTGGCACGTAGATCTTGAGATCCTATAGACAAGATGAGTGAGTCACTTGGGCTGTGAAGAATGCTTTTACCTTTTCTCCATATATTGCAACCTAAAGTTATTAAGTCCAGGACAAGATGTTTCCTTTTTACCCACGCTGGTATGCATATGGCCCTGCTTTGTGTTTTTTGTATATAATGGTAGTTATAATGCTAGTTTTTTGAGTTGTGATAATAGTACTTGCTTTTATGCTGCATGTTGGAATGTTTCTATATTTTCCTTTGCTATGGTTGCCCGAATGCCTCGTTATGTTCCTTGGCTTGTGGAAGCTCCTTCAGCTATGACGTTAATTGGGCCTAGGAGGGATTTTGACATAGAGATGGCCCAATTAGGTTGCCAATGGAAATATTCTGGCTTGTGTGTTACTTCTATTTCATATCAAAATGTAAGTCATGCTGCTAATCTTTCTAAGGAAATTTCCAAGTATCTTTCAGGAAATTGGTCTGTGGAATTGGATAAGAAGATGAGAGAACTTCTCAAGTCGATTGTTCATATTAGTTCAATTAGAGTGGATGACTCCCTGGCCTCTGGACTGACTGAATGGATACATCAAGCAATGTCCCACCTTAAGGAATGGGCGGGTTTGGGAGTTTTAGCCCTGTGCCTATTACTGATCAATGGCCTTGCCTGTTGGTGTATGTGCAAAAGGAGAAAACAACACTGCAGAGAACGGGCCTTGATAGTGCAGGCGTTTGTAGCCATGGAGATGGGACTATCTCCTCAAGTGTGGCTTGGCATGCTAGAGAAGTAGTCAGAGACGAGTAAGACTCCTTGGATGTGTTACCAACCTAAGACAGGGACCAAACCAGAGCTGTTTGACTCCCGATGACGGGTAAGGAGCATAGTCGCAAGGGGCCGCCTAAGACAGGCATTCTCTCTGCCAAAATTAAATAAAAGGGGGAATTGTAGGAAGTGGGTGTGGTGGCCATTCCAAAATGGCACCTGAAGCTAACACCTGACTTCCTCATACGCCCCTGAAGAAGCCACGCCCACAGGCAATATTGCCCAGGCTCACTGCTATGCATAATCAGGCCATCTGCTACGTAGGGCAACGTCAGATCTTGCCATACCCACTGTCCTATCACATGCACCCACGTGGCAGGCTCTGATTGGAGAAGGCAGAGGGATTTAAGGGCGGTGGAGGAGAGGCTCGGGGGCTTTTTGAAGAATGTAAGGGTTCCTGAATAAACTGCGTTGGGAAGAAGAACTCCATGTGTCGCTGTTTCTTTCCGTGGGTTGGAGTGGGCAGCGACAAGAAGTCACATAGGCAGTCCAGATTCTCCCCCAACACCCACCATGGCTTTCATCCTCTTCTATGGGAAGGAAGGTGTGTTCCCAGGTGGCAGACTATAGAGGTGAGGTGACCCTGGACTGCAGCCTGAAGGAAGCTATTTGAATACTGGAAAAGTCAGTGGTTGCTCATTTAAAGGGCTGTGGTGTAGAGGTTCCTGGGGCATGAGAGTCTTGGAGAGTTCAGTGACAAAGGCTCAGGGTTTCAAGTAAACAACATCCCAAAGGACCAGACTGAGAGTCTGGAGAGAGAACAGGGTCAAGTTCCAGGAAGGGGTGTCGTCTGGTGATAGCTCTTGGGTTAGTTAATGGATGGATTCTGAACAGACGGCACAGGGTTCACTAGTATCACACATTGGGCTCAACAGGAGAGAGGACTCAGGGAACTTGAACACTGAGGTGTAAGCTGCTAGGCAGCTCTAGGTGTAGGTAGCTTTCTACCCGGTTCATCCAGGAGGCCATCTTGTCCTGCTCTGCACCACAGGAGGGGCTGACTCTGTATCAAGCTGTCCCTTAGCCACACAATCCAGGGAGGACAGACGGACTGTGGAACACAAGAGCGTTCCTCTAATGGACAAGACCTAGAAACCGCACAGGTCATCTCTTAGTCTCCATTGGTCAGAACATGAGAAGAAGGCCACCTGGGTTACTGTGGTGCAGAGGACACTGCGCCCTGTGCTGCAGCCTCAGGGGAGCCTCAGCAGTCAGAAGACAAGTACAACAAGAAGAAAGAAAAGGCCCATGTGGAAATCTCAAACATGCCTCTTAAACCACAATAAAGAAAACACTTTTTAAAAGAGGAGATGATAAAAACTGGGAGGGAATCATCAACTGTCTGTAGTCAACAATCCAGAAAACACATAATACCATTTGCAAGAAAGCACACAAAGCAAGCCTAGGTCAGTGCTCAGAAATTTATTCTTCAACATGTATGGACCAAGTGTAGCCCTCCCTGTTCATCTTGGCAGAGCTCATGCAATTACAGCAGATTTTAAAAATCAGTAGACATTAAAGCATATGATTTTCCCAAGGGTCTGGTAGCAGATAAAAGGAAGGACCCACCAGTCATATCCTGTCACCTTTTGTTAGCATCCACAGTGGCATGTTGGGCAAAGAACTTGTGATGACTGGATAGTTGATGTTCCCAGTGTCCTCTCTTTCTAGTCTTGAGCACTTCACCAATGGCACCCACATAACACAAAACCAGTGACAGGAAATGATGTTCACATCCAGAGTCTGATTGTCAGATTGAGAAATATCTGGGAAAACACACAATTAGGCAGAAGAAGAAAAGAGGAGAAGGTCTTTGTGCCACCAATCAACAAGCGGTGGGAAGATTGACAGCTCAGTGGACGGTGAGGATGGTGAGCCACAGCTGGGAGCAGTGTGGTGGGCATAGCTCAGGAGCAGCTGTGCTGTGGCTCAGTCAGGACTTGGATGGGGGCCCAGCTCGGGAGCTTGGTTCTTAGTTGGGAAGTTGAGAAGTTGTTGGATCTAAGAGCTGGAGTCTGGTAAGAGATCATGAGACTGTCCCATTTGTGTTCTTGCTTCCTGTCTCTTAATGTGCCTCCTCCCTTTAGCAGACACTGCTGTGAAGGGGATACAGTCAGGGGCTCCCATGTGTTCATGGTTCTGTCCAGCACACTCCGGCCCCAGTCCTCTGAGCTGCACTGAAGAGGAAGAGGTCACTGCATCAGGGTGTCATGAACCTGTTTGAGCTCTTGCAACTTCTGCTCGAAGTCCCAAGCTTGTTGCCGGAGCTCTGCAGCAGACTCTGACTTAGCACCCTCATGCAAATGCTTTGAGTCTTCCACAAGCTTGATCACATCTAGCAGGAAGAAGATACCTGCGGTGGCTGCACCCGTGATCCGGGCTCCTTTCCTCATGGCCAGAGCTGTACCTCCAAAGGCTTTCTGCACCTGTTTAGTCTTTCCGGCAGATATCATCCCTGTTGTCATGAGACGCTTGGCATTAATTGCTAGGTGAGGGTTTGCTTTGGCCAGTTTGATGGCCTGAATATTTTTCTTGATGTTTTCCAGGTTCTTGAAGGAATTCTTGGATAAGGAAACAAGTCTGGGGCCACCCTGATCCAAAATGTCTTTTATTTCCTTCACTGTGTCTTTGTTGGTTGGTACCAGCTTGCTGGCTTCAGCCTCAGCAGACACCACGCTTACCTTTTCCACAATGCTTGTGGAAACACTAGTCACAGCTGCAGCTGTCCCCAGCCCCAAGCCAGTGGCTGACAGTGCCAGACTGACTCCTGCTGTCACAGGTGCCAGAGTCAGACCAAGGATTGTCAGCACTCCAGACACAGCAGCGGTAGAGCTGGCCACCACCTGTGAGATGGTGCAGTCCCTGTGCACCTTGTCAACCTTGTCTGCCAGGGCATGGAGCTTCCTGATGCGCTCCTCGAGTTCCAGTTTCACCCGAGGATAAACATCCAAGAACCTTTGCTTGTGCCACAGGTCACTTTGTATCTTCTCTTCATCTTCTGCATCAGCATCAGCTAGCTCCTCTTCAACTTCTGCATCAGCATCAGATAGCTCCTCTTCATCTCCTGCATCAGCATCAGCTACAGTCTCACCAGGGGCTTCACTCAAGGCATCGTCCTCTTTCCTGTAACAGGAGAGATGAGCTGAGTGTGGAAGGCAGCTTGTGAAGTAAGATCTGTGCTGTGGAAACTACAGGGCATTCATGTGAAGCAGAGGAGAATGTTACAGCTCCAAAGCTCTTTCTTACCGGGATGAGCATGTGTGACAAGTCACCATTCTTAGTTCCTAAGGACACAGTGAGTTCAAAACCATCTATAATTGTCCTTCTAATTTTTTATCTATGTGTATGAGTGCTTCTCCTGCATGTATGCTTGTGTACCATATTCACTTCTAGGGCCCGTGGAGGGCAGAGAAGGAAGGCATCAGATCCCTAGGACTGGAATTCCAACAGTCCTGAGCTGTCATGAGGGGACTGGGCACTGACTGACTCAGTCATCTGGAAGAGCAGCCTGTGCTCCTCATTGCTGAGCCCCCTGCCTCCCCCTCCAGCACACCCTTTTATTGCCAGAGATTTAATAAGGGAGCCATCCCTCAAGGTCAGTGTCATCACTACCAAGACATTTCTCCCTAGGAACTCTAAATACAGACAGGTGAGTTTAGAGAAAAGAAAAAAACCCTTCAATTTGGGAACATTAATGTTCCATGAAGAGTTCTCTATTGTAAGAACAACAATCCTTTGATCTCAGCTGCTGGGACAGGACCTGTGTATCCTACATTGTCCTGCTGGCCAGGAGTGTCCATGTTTGCCTGGAGCCTTGTGCTGTGAGACTCTGCAAGTTGCACATCCCTAAGGGAGAAACTTTATATAGGACATTCTTTGAATCTGGACATATTTTTGCCCTGCAGTGGTGTGTAGTCTTGAGCTGATGGGACAGCTCACAGCCAAGATCCATCCATTCAAAACATAGCACACAGATTTTCTGTCCAGCTGTGACTGAAGATAAACACTATCAGATTTCCCATTCACTTGTGGGGAATCCCCATTCACATGTGGGGAATCCCCATTCACATGTGGGGAATCCCCATTCACAGGTGGTCCCCTTCCCAAGGCATCTCAGTGCACCTCTGCAAAGTGTTTCAGCAGGAGTAAATCTCAGGAGTCAGAACACATAGGCTCCTAAGCACTTCCATAAAGTAACTCTCAGCCCGAGAAAGGTGAGGTGTGGTGGGGGATTTTACTGTCACCTCTGACCTCAGAGGAAGGACACAATGAAAGCACAGACTTCCAGGAGGGAGGGAGACCCCAGTCACTCATGGAGATTGTGTATTAGATGAAGGCCCAAAAACTTCTTGACATTGAAGCTTAGGTTGACAAGATTTTTTTTCCTTGAGAAAACTTTAAGTCTTCTAAACTGTTTCCCCAGTATGGATGGACTTTGGCTTACTATGCCTTTCCTGTGCATATTGCACTTGCCCTGCACAGACTTGGCAAGAATCCTAAGTCAGGTTGTGAGAACACCCTGCCTTTGATGCTCGACCTCCATCAGGTTTCCATGTCCAGCCGTTGTTGGGTTTGGCCTTGGCTTTCCTCAGGGGGAATCCCATAGGTCAGCTTCACAATGGCCCCACTCTCTGCTCTCTACTGCCTGTCACTCAGCTCTTCTGCTGTAAGTCTCCAGCTGAATGGACTGACAGACGGAGCAGCAGTCCTCAACAGTGTCTTCCTGCCTGTGGTAATGTATATCAGAATAATCGTTCTCTCCCACGGGAGCTTTCTTAGTGTGTGACACTCCATGTGACCTCTTACATCAGGGAAGCACTTGTGTCCTGAGGACAACAAAGATTCTGCTTAAAGCCTTTGAATGGACCTGAGGATGTGACTTAGTTGGTGAAGTGTTTGTCACACAAACAGGAGGATCTGAGTTCAGTCTTCCAGAGGCCTCATAGGAAAGCCAGGAAAGCTGGGCCTGGGCCTGTCATCCGATGTTTGGGGATGCAGAGTCAGGTCAGCCAGTCTGCTCACAGTGATGAGTTCCAGGTAGATAAAGGCAACTGTTATTGTAATGTGGCTGGAGAGATAGTTTCTTTATTTAGAATGCATGGTTCTCTTGCAGAACAAGTGAGTTCAGGTCCCAGCACCCACACTTGGTGGCTCACAGCTGTGGGGATCTGGTGTCCTCCTTGGCCTGATGTACCATGTACTATGTGTTTAAGTGAGGGAGTTCACACTGCCCTCATTTAATTTCAATACTGTGTGTCTGAAATTCTCCATTTCCAAATACAGTCACCAGGGTTAGTGCTTATACCAATGAGTTTAGGGACACAACTCAGTCCCTAACACTAGTGACATCATTAAAATGGGTCCTGTGACAGGTGCTCAGACACACACTTAACCAGCTTGTCCCTGAATATTCAGACTCTTATGCACAGTCCTCTAACCCCGTTCTTTTCCTTCCCATCTAGAGAGACAAAGGCCTCTCTGAGTCTTTGAGCACCTCTCATTCTTGTCCTGCAGGTCATTTTGGAGCTGTTCTTCATCTTCTTCATCAGGATCTGCCAAGATCTCAGCAAGAGCTTCTCCCAAGACAGCTTCCTCTTCCCTGTAATAGGAGAGACTGACTGATATAGAAGACTGCTTGTAAAATAAACTCACCCACATGCAAAAACCACACACACACACACACACACACACACACACACACACACACACACACAAAACTTTTTTAAAAAGCTAACTTTTGATGAACACCTACTATGAACTACTATTACGTGCTGGCCTCCTACCTTACACTGGCTTTATTCTGAAACCCCTACAGACATCATCTTGTTTTTCTCATACAGGAGTGTTGTGTGTGTGTATGGGGGGAGGGGGAGTTCATCTGCTGCTGTGATTCAAATGCTAAATTCTGGAACCCAAGATCTAGCTGCCCCTGGACAAGGAGATTTCTACGACACCAGCCTTTGTTGTGTAAACTTTGCTCCCAAATGTAAAACTATTGGTTAAAAAAAACAACAACAACAAGTAGTGACAGCCAATTCCTGGGGAGAATTGAAGGTTTGAGTTACTGGGCAGGCAGTCAAAGGTGGGAATCAGGAGAAGGATAGTGAGAGGGTTGAGAAGGAACTCAAGGAGGGAGAAGACGGAGATCAGGAGGTCTTCATTCGATGTGGTGTACCAGGGGCTCCGAGAACAGACTGTTGGAGGGGAAATAACCCAGGAAAACCCCAACAGCAAGTATTTGGGGAACATAGTTGGGCCAGTTTAGCCATTAGTGATATAGATAGAGGTAATCCTCTGGCCATCAGTCAATCAATCAATCAATCAATCAATCAGTCATAGTCTGTGTCTCATTCATTTGGAATCTAGCTGGGGATAGAAATAACTCAATCCATCTACAGGAGCAGCAATATTAAGAACAATCTCGTCACCTGTGAGTGCTGCCCTCTCCCTTCAACCAAAGGCTGCTCCCTGAAGGGAGTAAGGAGGAAATGGTTTCTGTGAAGGGACACCTTAACCCTAACTACTTGGCCTGCCTGGAGAGTGTACTCCTGCATGTGAAAAGCTAATAAGCAGGCTCTTGTTCTGCTAGTGCCCCCTAGGGGAGTGACCTGGACAAATCAACTCCTGCCACGAACTGTTTCCAAGTTTCCTCTTCTGCCAGCAGGAATTGCAGGTTTTCTAGGCTCCTCGAATCCAGGAGGTAGTTAAACACAGTCTCAACGAAGCATTCTCTCTCTAGATGGGAAGAGAACATATATGGTTAGAGGACTGTGCACAAGAGTTTGAATGGGTCAGGGACACGCTGGTTAATTGTGTGTCTGAGCACTTGCCACATGGAGTATTTTAATAGTGTCACCAGTGGTCGGGGCTGAGTGTGTCCTTAAACTCACTGGTAAAATCCCTAAGCCTGGCGAATGTATTTGGAGACAGAACCTTTAAGGAGAAAAGTATTGAAATTAAGTGAGGGTGTGAGTGAGCTCCTGACCCATCCTGTTAGCACCCTTACAGAAACAGGATGGAACTGCCCTCCCTTCTCCCTTATTCTCTTTCTTCCTCTTGTCTGTTTTCTCTTTCCCCACCCCTGTCCCTCTGTCCAGGCACACAGACAGGACTTGGGAGCTCCCTGCCAAGCATAAAGAAAGTGCTCTCCAGGGCCAACCTGCTGTACTTTGATTGTGGTTGTCAGATTCCAGAGCACTGAGAGAAGAGATCCTTTCTTTATAGGCCACCTGCCCAGTGACATTCTCGATGACATCCTGAGGAGACTAATGAAGCCAGAAGGTGTCCTGGAACTTTGCAGGGGTTTGTATCTTTTTCAGCTTAGAACAATGAGGAAGTGAACACTTCAGCCCCGGGAAGAGGGGAAATCCCAGTGATGGCTTCCGTTTACTGTGTGCCTGGTGTTGGCTCTTGTTTTGGGTTTACATCTTTTTACTTATTTTCATTTTGTATATATGAATGTTTGCCTGCGTTTACGTGCATGCACCATGTGTATGCCCAGTGCCCATGGAGCCCATTGGATCCCTGGAGTGGCAGTTTACAGACTGTTGTGAGCCTGATGTGGGTGTTGGGAACTGAACCCAGGTCCTCTGCAGGAGCAGCAGGTGCTCTTAGCCACTGAGCCATTCTCCAGCCCCAAATGTGACCTTCAACACAGGAATGGTCAGTTTTTAACCCAGAGTTTCAACTCCACTGGATTAATAAATATCTGGGAATTCAGTAGCCCTTATCTGGGGGTTGTAAGGGTGCTTATCTATCTATCTATCTATCTATCTATCTATCTATCTATCTATCCATCCATCCATCTATCTATCTATCAGATGACAATGTCTAAGCTAATGAGAGGTTCACAGACTGAGTGGAGGCACCATAGGAAGAGGGCCCTGCCGGAGTCTGGAGGGCAATGGGGGTGTATCTTAGGGGTGTATGGGCAATGTCTTGTCTTGGCCATTTTTGTTACTGCTTTGTCTATTTTTGTCTGCCATGATGTGAACTGCCCACCCTTCCTGCCTGCCTCTCTGCATTCCTGAATGGACTGATCATGCTACATAGTAAGCAAAATAAATCTGTCTTCATTAGTACAACAGCGATAAAAGTGAGTCACACAAACTTTAAAAAGTAATTACAGTAAATGAATGAATGAATGAATGAATGAACGGTCTATAGAGCTAACAGAAAGAAGAATTTAAAGCATGACATGGAGTCCTGCAAGGTGCTAGATGCCTTTAGCTTGGGATGCTGAGGCAAGGGGATCCCTGTGAGTTTGAAGACGCCTGGATCTGGAGCAGGTTGCCTCCAGTCTACACCACAGTGGTTGGAATACGCTTGCCCAATGGAAGGCAGCACTATTAGGAAATGTGACCCTGTTGGAGTAGGCGTGGCCTTGGTGGAGGAAGTGAGTCACTGTGTAGGTGGGCTCTGAGGTTCTATGCTCACTCTCCAGGCTGGTATGGAAGAGAGCCTCCTACTGGAGGGCTGTGGAAGACAGAATCTTCCTGGCTGCCTTCAGATCAAGAGCTCTCAGCTCCTCCAGCACCATGTCTGTCTACAAGCTGCCATGCTTTTTGCCGTGATGATAATGGACTATACACCTAAGACTGTAAGCCAGCCCCAATTAAATGTATTGTATAAGATTTGCCTTGGTCATGGTGTCTCTTCACATCAATGGAAACCCTAAGATACCACTCCTACCTCCTATTCCCTCCCTCCTCTTCTCCCTCCTCCCCTCCCTCTCTTCCTGGCTTCCGTATTTTCAGGCTGGGTATTGAGGAAATGACTTCTGGGAATTTATTCAATACAAAGTGAGGAAGGGGAGCCACTGCCACCCAAGACTGGGACACTCTCTGTGCTCCCTTGGGGTTCTCATCTATATCTTTGACTCCCCAGCAGGCACTCAGCACAAAGGCTCTGGCAGTTGTAGGCCATGTTTAGGAGTGGGGACCAAGACTGCTTACCTGGGGTGCCCATGACAGCTGCTAGGTCTAGGTGTCAGGCAGAGGACTTGACAGGTGTTCTTACAGCTCACTAGATGTCCAGGCTACAGGAGGAAAAGGCACCCTGTGAGAAAGAATGGGGTCAGCTTAGTGATCAGGGATCTGGGACACACAGTTCTTTCAACAGTGGCTGCCAAGGACCAAAAGAACTTGGCCCTCAGTTTTTCTGTTCCCCTGGGCTCTGTCACTGCTATTTAATGAAGTCGGTCTTGTGACCCCAGCCATGCTGCTCTCTCCCTAGCAAGGTGGAAGACTGCTGTCCTATTGGGGACAATGGAGAAGGCATTAGCTGAGGACACAGCTGTAGAGAAAAGAACAAGCTTTGCACATAGAAAGAGAGATGGAGGGGAATGTTCTGGTAGCCATCTGCAGGTGGCTAACACACATACACACATACACACACACACACACACACACACACACACACACACACACACACACCATGTATCCTCCTCCCAGTGTCACCCTTGGTCTTGCTGTGTTCTGTGAACCTTCCTGCTGGTCAGTCACATGTGAGCTTTTCTGATGAGCTGGCCCCCAGATGGGAAGTGCAGGTGAGTCTCCTGCCTGCTCCTGACCAGCTGAAAGCCCAGGCTGGAGCTTCCCTTCCCATGGTCTAAATGGGACAATGGATGAAGAGGCTGGGCAGTCAGCCTCAGCATCCCCTCACCTCAGCACTCCCTCTCCCTCACAAGGAGCCACAGCCTGGAGCAATCTCCATTCCAATAGCACTCTTTAATGAAAACCCCCTCCCAGGAAAAGCAAATGCTAGCCTGAGAACAGATAAACAGCCACAACTCCCAGCCCCCTCTGATGGATAGCTAGGCATTCCCCAGTACAGGTGGCCCCTGTCCTTGGGAGAAGCAGAAAAAAAACACACATCCTTAGAGAGATAAAGTGCCATATTTTGGGGGCAATCAAGCATTCCCAGACAGCTATGACTGGTTTGTAAAAACACTCATCCCTGATAGCACCATAAAGGCCAAAAGAGCCTCCCTCCCCAATTGTTGGACCCCACCCACCGCCTAAACAGATGGAATTGTGTTTTAAAAATGACATCTTTTATCATTTCACTTGTCATGTAACCCTGAAACCTCAGAACCTGTTTGTGTATAAATTCCCTAAGACCCTAGACAGGGACCGCAATCTTGCCCTGCACAGTGGGAACTGATTGCAGTTCGAACCAGGTTAGAATTCTTTAAAAGGCTTTGTCTCACTACATGGAATTAAGCAATTTTTTGAGCTCTCCTAGGGATCTTGAGATCTGGACATAACAAGGGTAGCTTTTCAGTAAACCCTCACCTTCTGTTGGCTGCATTGTTTCTTCCCTTGACAAGGAGCCCAGGGCTCAGGACTGTAAGCTCCTCCCTCGAATCTCTGAAATCCTACCCTTCATCCAGCACATCCCTCCTGCTGCTGTGTCCCTCCAAGAAATCAGTGTAGTCTGAGCCATGGGGCCCTTGGTGATAGAAAAGCAAACCCCATGGAATTACTTAGCTAGGAGGACAGGCAGATAGGGGCTCTGCCCTCAGACTGCAGGCTCTGTCAGATTTCTGAGAGTTTCCAGTAATTTCTGTGCCTGTCAGTTCTGACTTCTTCTGTCGCTCTTTCCTTCTGCACATCATACTCAAAGACCCCCCTCCTACATCTCCAACCCCTACCCTCAGCCAACCTCCGAGGCCTCACATCCATCATTCAATTCCTTTTATACAAACAGCTTCTACCTCTCAGTTCCTATCCCTTATTAACAGTCAGAACCCATGGAACCTCATCCTTGGTCCAGGACCTTCCCTCCATTGCTGCTGTTCTTCCACACACAGAGTCTCTAACCCTTAGACTATCCTCTCCGTTATCCCCGACCACACCACTCACTTTTCAATTCTAATCTTAAAGAAAAATTCGTCTCGGAGGGGCTGTCTGGAGACCATCCCACCTGGGTATCCATCCCATGTGCAGTCACCAAAGGTAGATGCTGTTGTGGAAGTCAGGAAGTGCATGCTGACAAGAGCCTGATATAGCTGTCTCCTTAGAGGTCTGCAAGAGTCTGACATATTCAGAGGCAGATGCTCACAGCTAACCATTGAACTGATCATGGGGTTCCCAATGGAGGAGTTAGAGTGAAGACCTTGGAGCTGAAAGGGTTTGTGGCCCCATGAGGAGAGCAAGAATACCAACCAACCACAGCTCCCAGGGTCTAAACCACCAGCCTGGGAGCACTTAGGGAGGGATCCATGGCTCCAGCTGTATATGTAAGGGTGGAGGGCCCTGTCGGGCATAGGTGGGAGAAGAGATCCTTGGTCTCATGAAGGCTGGACGCCTCAGTGGGTGGAATTTGAGGGTGAGGGGGTGGGAGTGGGAGGGTAGGTAGGGGTACATCCACAGAGAAGCAGGAGGAGGGGTGAGGAGATGGGGGTTCCTGGGTGGGTGGGGGGAATTGGGTAAGGGGATAACATATGAAATGTAAATAAAACATCCAAAAAGAAAAGAAAATTTCTTCTCGATATTCCTGGATGCTACTCCCAGGGCCTTTTGTCTTTACATAGATGGATCCTGACACTCAACACTCTCGACCCTGACCAGGACTGTCCTCCTGCTTCAGTGTATAGATGCCCTCCTCCTTTGCAGGCCTTTCCTCTCTGTTAGCCAATCTGACCCTGCCTCACTCTTAAATTTCCTCAGTTCTGGAAGTCACCAGATCTCTCTTTCCATGGCTCAACTCTCCTCTCCCCAAGTCACCGACCTGGGATTCTCTCTCGTGCCGACCCTTAAGCACATCACTTTACACCACCTTGGCCATCTCCACTCTTGACTGCTGTCCTCATGGCCAATTTTCTCCATGCAGGGGTCCGTAAATACTCACTCCTGATCCAGTCCCTGTAGCAAGCCACTTCTGGATCTCCTCATGACCACCTTCCTCCCATCCACAAACAATTCCTTTAACTTAAAACATTCTCCTTTCTGCCTCAGCCCCACCTCCCAAATCTATGCAAACCTTTCTATCCTTACATTTCCAAATACATAAACACATCCTAGACTGACCTTTGCCCCTGTTTCCTCCTCTCTAAGACTTGACACAGCAGCATCCAGAGCTGCCCCCTTTGTCTACTCTCTCCCCGCAGCCCCTCTGATCACAACCTAATGGACACACTCTGGAGTCCATTCACAATCAATCCTACCCCTCTCTCCCTCAACTCCTAATTTACAAAGGACCTGAGTCCCTTCCCCTGTCTCGGATTCTATCCCTACAAAGTTCTCTTAATGAAAATTCATCACTCCCAGTCCTTACTGGTTCTTCTTCGGGTCTCTACACTTACCTCTTTGCCTCAGTGTCCCCCAGATCCCCTACACCCCATCTAAACCTCTCAAAGGCCTGCCACCCCACCCTCTCCTATCCAAGAGGGTCCTCTAGTGACTTCTGCCTACACTTTCATACAAATGGCACCTCCTTCCTGTTAGAGGACACAGCAGACAGACCCCTCCATTATCAGTAAAGAGGATAGTCACGTGGACAGAACAGCTCTTCCAGCTGCCCTTTCATCCCTTAGGACTCACCCCACTTTCCTCCAGGCTACCATACTCCATGACCCAGGTAACAACACACCTAGGCTTTCCTCAACACAGGATCCTCTCGTAACCTCTGCTCTGTGAATTCATCCACACTCTCTCCTGATCCCTCAAGGTCACCTGAAGCCCACAGTCTCCTCTCTCTCCTCTTACCCATACTTACCTCTGCCTAAATAATTGCCAAACATCCACTGACTTCTCAAAATTCATGAACTGTTTTTAGACACCAAACACTTTGAATAACTCCCTGACTCCCAATTACAATAACTAAACCCCAAGCCATTACCTCTCTGTCTATCTGTCTCTCTATCTGTGTCTCTGTCTCTGTCTCTGTCTCTCTCTCTCTCTCTCTCTCTCTCTCTCTCTCTCACACACACACACACACACACACACACACACACACACACACACACACGGAGACACATGAATTCAGAATCAGGGCCAAACCCTCACTTGAGTCAGACACCCAACAACCTCCCTCTTCTCCACTTCCCTGAATCCTCCTTCAATCCCCACACTGCTTTCCCTGTGCCTGACTTTCATGCTCTCTGTTAGCTGCAGTCCCTCTTGTCATGGATACCCCAGTTGCCATGCCCCACCCCCACTACTGCTTGTCCCCTTAACCATCCAAGCTCCGCTTTGGGGACCAAAACCAAGTTCTCTCAGCCTTTCCACACCCAGCCCAGAAGCCTGTTGCAGCCTGTCCCTCTTACCATTCGCTGAGAGCCTCCACAGTCATCCTCTCCCCCACCCCCACCCCTTTCTCATGGGTCTCTCCCCAGTCATCTTCTCTTGGCCCTGCCCTTTCTCCTAGGTCTCTGAGTTTCTCTGCAGTCATCCTCTCTTGCCTCCTCATCCTCATGGGTCTCTCACTTCCTCATCTCCCTGATTTCTCATGGCCTCTGCTGCCTTCACAAGCCAGTCAATGTCCCTGTTTTTAGCCTCCTCTGGGACGAGCCAATCAACTCCAGGTTACTATCTCCAGACTGTTGATTGACTATTGGGGTTCTGGCATTTAGGCTCCTGAATCAAGCACAGATGGGCCTAGAAAGGTCCCATCGTAATCCGAACGCCTACATCACCTGCTGTCTTCCTCACTCTCTCTTAACCGGAATGTCCTGCTCTCCTGGGGACATTAGCTCCACTAGATTTGATCACTGCCATGATCCCAGGGGCAGTCCATTACCGAGGCTGGGAAAACTAAGATGGCCTTTTGATACTGGTCTGTCCCTGGGTTGTGCTCTTATAGAGCCTCCAGACTCTGTTGCATTTCTTTTGTACCATAAGGCCAGGAAACACATTAGGTTAAAGAATTAAATTCCAGATGCTGTCAATCACTGGCCTGCTATGGGAGTTGCAAGGCCTTTGGGGTTAATGGCTATTGTAGGTTCCAGAGTTTTGGAGGACAAT